AAAATGCCTCAAAAATAGTTTTAAACAAATCAAACAAAAGCATTTTGACAAAGAACCTTCTTAACAATGGTTTTAACTGATATAGTTTTTTAAGAAACGATTAAAATCACTAAGAATGCGTAAAGAATTGTTTTTACAGTATTTTAATCGATACAAACTTCTTTTAATCGATTAAAACCCTTTAGAAATCATTATGACCGATTAGATTTGATATATAAGCAATCAGAACTTGTTTCAATCGATTAAAACACGTTTCAATCGATTAAAATCATTTAAAGGGTCAGAATGATCGATCAGAATACAGTTATGACCGATCAGAGTGGTTATGATCGATCAGAATTGAATTATGACCGATCAGACTTATTTCAATTGATTAAAACGTATTTCAATTGATTAAAATAACTTAGAAAATCTTTTCAATCGATTAAAACGAACTTTCAATCGATTAAAATGACTTGAAAATATATGTGCAGTTTTTCAATCGATTGAAACGACTTTATATCAGCTAAAATAACTTGGAAAGTTTTATAAGAAGGTTTTTAAACAAATCAATCGATTAATACGCGATTCAATCGATTGTTTTATACTTTGAAAAAGTTTGTAAAATGTTTTAACTGATATAAACACGGTTGTATCAGCTAAAACGATTCTGTTAAAGAAGCAAGAACGCATTAATGGGTTGAAAGGACTTTTAACAGATTATAACGGCTATTTCAACAGATTAAAACAAACTTTCAACAGATTAATTAATGCAGCAGATTTGAAAATACTCTTTTATAAACAGAATTGCTTGGAACTTTAATCATATCAGTTTTTACACAAACAAAGCAATCTATCAAGCAACTGTTAGCACCTTTTTCCAAGAAAGAATTACAACTATTTTGTGAAGTTATTTTTGAAATCTTTCTTGAGGCATATTGCATCCTTTGAAGAAGAAACTTACTGTGGATTAGCGTAATCCGGTTTGAGCTTTCTTGTTTCTTCTTTTCAATTTCTTTTCATTACTTTGTATTGTTTTGTGCCTGGAATTTGGGCACAAGTTTTCTCTGCAGCTGGAAGTTGGTTGTGGAGGTTATCAAGAACTGGAATTTGGTTCTTGGTAAGAAGTTGAGCACAGGAGCTGGAATTTGGTTCTTGTGTGTAGTGCCTGGAATTTTGGTGCTTGGTCTCTCTGCTAGCTGGAATTTGGTTGCAGAGGTTTCCAAGAACTGGAATTTGGTTCTTGGTGGGAAGGTTAAAGTCGGAACTGGAAATTGGTTCCGGTGTTAGAATAGGTGTAAGAGTGTGAGTCTGCAAAACATCTATTCTAGTGGAACCCAACTGGAATTTGGCTGGAGACTGGACGTAGCCCTGGTATTGGGTGAACCAGTATAAAATTACCGGTGAAATCTTTCCTAACCTTTCTCTCTTTAATTTCAGTTGCTGCGCTTATATTGTTTAATTGCTTTGTGATTAGTGAATTGATTAGTAAACTTAATTTTCGAATTAGATAATCTGTTTATTGCGAAAAACTTTCAAAAATCAATTCACCCCCCTCTTGATTTAAAACTACTTTTCTAACATAAAGGAGAATAATCATAAATACAATCAAGTATAACTTGATCGCTATTATTTGCAACTACGGTCGAATGAATCGACTTATTTATCCCTACCTTACTACTACTACTTTCTTGGCTCTTCCTTTCATCTTCATATTTTATCAATCGAGCCAAGAACTCTTCATAACTTCTAGTCATCTTCACCGGCCACTTCGAGGTTGGCCCCCTCTTTGATCATCACAAATCCCTTCTTCTCGTTCATCTTTAAAAAACGCTCTTCATGTAATTTTGAGTTGAAATCTTCGACAGTCTCGAAGGTGAATGGTCGAACGAGTGCTAAGTTCTGAGTAGCCCGACCAGCCTGGGACAGGAAAGTTACAAACTCGTGCTGATCTCCTGAGATTACTTCGAGATGTCCATCTCGATTCCACATGAATAATTTCTGATGGGCCGTCGAAGGTACAGCTCCAACTCCATGGATCCATTCTCTACCAAGTAGTGCGTTAAAGTTGGCATGTGATTGGACCACAACAAACACAGTAGGCCTTGAATAAGTACCCACCTTCACGTCTAAAGCGATCATACCTTCTGACCCTGATGTTTTTCCGCTGAAATTAGAGATCATGATATTGTGTTTGACTAGATCTTTCAGCTCAATGCTAAATCTCTTCAGCATGGAGATTGGCAATATGTTTACTGCTGCGCCACCATCGATAAGGACCCTGTTCACCATCTGTCCTTGGATCTCGATATTTAGTAGTAAAGGTTTCAGATGGAACCTCATTTCTTCAGATGGGGGATCGATGAAGGCAGCATCTCTGTGAGGTACTTCGCATGATGCTTGAGTTACCCATGTCACCTTTGGCCTTATGCTTTCTGAATAGAAGTCATCTTCTCGATCAACATCACTCTGTTCTTGATATTCTTTGTATTCGTTGACATATTCCGCGGGCAATATCGATATCACTCCGATTTGATGTTCATTCCAGTTGTCTTCATTCTTATCATCGAAAAATTCTCTTGCATATTGGCTTTCCATCGGTACAATATTCTCTTCAAAGTTTCTATAACTACTCCAGTAAGGGATCCTTCCTCCTCTTCTCCAGGGCCTTCCACGGAATCTTCTTGGGAATTTTGGGAATCCAGTGTTCGATCCTTCATCGTATGACAGTCTCTCGAAGACATCACTACTTTGAAGTCTTCCTCTTCCTCTTCGAGAGGGATACATCTCTCTTCTAACCCATTGCCTTTGATTTCCGCTAACACCAGAACCCACAGATTTCTGTTGACTTTCTTCGATAGTTGGTCGGACCGTTTGATCCAATTTGTCATTTTTCCTTTTATTCTGGCTCTCGATCTTCTTTGTTTGTTCTATTCTGAAAGCTTTGGCAGCCGATTTATCGAACACTGCACTGCACCGTGGGCATAGCGACACATCTTCGTCTTTTTCTTTCTTTCTATTCAGGAATTCAACGAGGGAATCTCCTGCTCGAGGGTATATCTCCTTCTCGAATTCCTTCTCGAACTCACTCAGGTCAAATTCCATGTCTTCTTCGGATACGTCCATCCTGACATGCTTGGGATCGATGTTTTCAGTAACATCGACCATGCCTATAAAGGCCGAATTTGTCAATCGGATATCATCAGCAATGCCCGTTTGGGATTCGAGGTATCCTACTTGAGCTTCGAATGGACTCGTGTCGACTTTCATTGTCATTTCTTCGAACTTCAACCTTCCTTGGTCGATCGCATCTTGGATTGTGTTCCTGAAATGTATACAATTGTTAGTCCAGTGTCCATAAACATTATGAAATTTGCAATATTTTCGACCCTTCTTTTGTTCTGCAGAGGGTAGTTTATGATCATCACTCAACTTAATCTGTTTGTCTTTTAATAAAATATCGAAAATTCTGTCTGCTTTTGTCACATCGAAAGTATATGTTCGATTTGCCATTTTGTCTTTCACTTCATTTTTCTGTAGTAGTTTACAGACATATGGAACTCCTACCTTGAGCTCTGCTATATTCACTTTTTCATCGACAGTTTCTTCGATATCAGTTTCTGTCGTGGGATCTACCTCATACACATCATTCACATAAGCTATTCTTTCTTTTTTCATAGGTTTCTCAAATTTCTTATGTCTTTGTTTTTCATATTCAATCTGTTCCACCCTTCTCACTTTATCAGCTAATTGAGCCATGTCATTTAATGGCAAATTCACTAACTTTTTCCTAATTGAAAATTCTAAACCTGTAGAAGCCATCCTGACTAATTCGTATTCAGGAATTTGAGTAAAACATCTCGATTTCATTTGTCTAAATCGATTCAAATAATCATCTATGTTTTCATGATTATATCGTTTTATGTTCATCAAGTCGATGAGACTTACTTGAGTCTCCCCTCTAAAGAACTGTTCATGAAAATTTCTTTCTAACTGTAACCAGTTATATATCGAATTGGGTGGCAATGAAGTAAACCAAGTGAAAGCATTCTTAGTCAAGGAACTAGGGAAATACTTCATTTTTAACTCTTCACTCATTGATAAGTCCCCACACTCTATCTGATATCGAGCTACATGCTCGATAGTTGATTCACCAACCTCTCCAGCAAATTTGGTGAATTTAGGTACTTTGTATCCTCGAGGCAATTCTGTCTCGAGAATCACATTTGGAAAAGGAGACACAAAATATGTCTGATTGGGTGGTCTTAATTCTATCCCTTGGAAATTCATCCTCTGTCCTAACATGTGATTATATTGCATATTATTCTGATTGTGAACATTTTGAAATCCCTCATTCAAATTCCCATAAATATCATTCCTCACATGTTGATATTCATTCCCCATCTGCTGATATTGATCATTGTTTCGATTTCTCCTTAATAAATAAGGGGGATTAGTGTTCTGATTAATATTCTGATTGGCACGATTCTCCATCCTCGTTTGTCGAGGTACAGCCAATGCGTCTCCGATTCGAGACATTTGATCTGCTAATATCTCGAAACTAGTAGTAGTATTTTGAACTAATGGGTTTAAAACCATAGTCAACTGCTGTGATAACATATTCACCATTTCAAAATTACTCTCATCCATTTGTTGTCTAAGTATTCCTAGGGAGTTACTGGAAATTCCAGTATTAGTATTTTCGATATTCTCGAAATTAGATCGATGATAGTCCTTATCAAATGCATACCTCCCATGATCGGGATTCCCCCTAGGATCTAGATTTGGAGGTGTCTGTTGTATACCTAAGTTTTGCCCACTCCCTGAGTTTTGTGATGTCGCTGAATTTTGAGACGCCCCTAAATGTGAAGATACTCCAAAGTTTTGTGGCATGCCTAGGGTTTGAAATGTACCTACGTTTGGGGGCATTCCTAAGATATATCGCGAATTTCTATGTATCGATGAAGCGCCAGCTCCGTTCATATTATTGGGTGAAAAACCAGGTGGTTTTACACTCGTATATGGCCCTGCATATGTGGTTATGGGGTTTCCCATAGTTTGCATATTGTTTGGTATTGCCATACTAGATCCTACCTGAGTATTAGCTAATGTGTTTGAATTTTGTTCATTACTCGCTGGTATCGACATGCTCACAGTTGTCGATATTACAGGCACACTCCCATTGTGCCCTTGCCCCCCAGTATTTGGTGAGAGCACGCCACTTAGACCCTCATTGTTACCCTGGTTACTGGATGAATTCTGACTCATTCTTATAACTCTCCCACTTCTTAATCTCATACACTCTCGAACTAACCACTTTTGTGTTTTTTCAACACAAGACCCCCTACCTGGCGCGCCAATTTGTTTCTGGTGGAATTTTGATCGATTTCGATTCTAAAGTGTTCAAGTCCTAATCAAAATTCTACCACGTAAGCTCTTTTCACTTTGGCTAGCAATTTGATTTTCAATCGAGAACATGCATAAGGATCGAAAACTACAAGTATCGAAAAACACTATTTTTGGTATTTTATGTTTAAAGTGCCCGAATTAAACAAAGCAGTAAAGTATCGAATCGAGAAAACAGAATATTAAATTGCAAAGAAATGTAAAGTGCGAAAACCCCAAATTTGCATTAAGTGTAAATGACAAGGAATCGAAAACAGCATAAACACAAATGGCAAGAAATCGAGATTACAAGAAAGATTAAACGACAAGAAATCGAAATGTGCAGGAAACGCAAATGACTCGGAAACTTAAACGCGAAACTTAAATTTTCATTGAACTCGAAATGACTCGTGAATTGAAAGTACTGAAACATGAAATTGCTGAACTTAAATTGCAATTAACGTAAATTACCAAGGAAAATACAGAAAGCGGTAAATGTACTCAGTGAGTAAAGAAATCCAGATTGCCAGAAGCTTCATGATGTTCGTTGTTTCTCCGGTAGACTTTTCACTACTGATTCTGCTCTCTGCCAATTTCTCCTCCCCTGTTTCTCCCTTCTTTGCTCTATTTATAGGATGTCGCTCAAGCCTTCCAGGAGCAGTTAACAAGACTGATACCACGTTCTACGTGCATAAGGCAGTTCCTCTTTTACGGTTTCTCACGATCTTCGACTCTTCCATAACTTAGAAACTGCTTTCTATACGCGCGTTTTGACTACTTCCCCTCGAGGTTTAGCCGAGGTTACGATATTTATGAAAACGAGTCTTCCCTTCGATTTTATCGAGAACTTTGCATACCTGATATCGATTCGTTTTAACCTTAACGTCATATACCTCAAATTCCTTGGTTTGTTCCATGTTAAGCTTTCGACTATTACTCATACTCTTCCGATTCTACCTTTCGATTTTATGTGTCACGTCCTTTATAATCGGATATCGAAAAAGTTCCCTTTCAATTTGTTTCTCGATCATACTTCTCGATACTAACACGCACATATTTTTATTTTATGTGTATATAGATTCAGTGTATTTTTATATTTAATTATTTAATGAGTCATCAAACATTTGTATACATAATTTAAAACATGGGTTATGATCATAAATAACCAAAACTTCCATTAATTCTATGTATTAATATAATAAAAAGATCGTATTAAAAAATAATTAAAAATTAATGTTATATTATTAAATAAAGATAGAAAAGGGATAAACGCGGTTTCTCAGTCAAAGTCTACTACATTTTAACTATCATACTTACACAACAAAAATCATTAAAGAAAATGTGGTCCAGGAGGATATTATAGTAAGTTATCTTTCGATGGAAACATCAAACTTTGGTTTATATGCACTTCAAATTTGAAGTAATCGAGAAACAGGTTGGACACAATGTGGAGAGAGAGAGCATTGTTGATGGTGCTGCTGATTCTAGTCCAGAAAAGTCATGGTTGCTGCCGCCCTTCTTCTTGTGGCAACATCACCATACACAAACCGTTTCGATTAAATGGTGACCCGAAAAAGTGCGGGGACAAAAGGTACGAGCTTGGTTGTGAAGATAATGTTACGGTTTTGTATCTGTACTCTGCTAAATATCATGTGCAGGCCATCAACTACAACAATTACACAGTCAGAGTGGTTGATCCTGGACTTCTTCAACACAACTGCTCCTCCCTTCCTCTCAATTTCATTTCTCGTTCCAATTTCTCTGATACTTACTCTGACGACGTGGATCCATACCAAGCCGGTTTAAGAGCATTTCGTAATTGGGGATCTCGAACTTTCCAGCATATAATGTTTATGAATTGTAACCATTCAGTGAGTGACAATGACAAGTATGTGGATACTGCTCACTGCGTGAAGTGGGACTCCAAAGGCTATGCGTATGCTGTTGCTGGTGACCTAAATTCAGAGGAGTTTGAAGTTGGTTGTGAAGTAAAACTTGTTGGCCTCTCATCTTGGTTGGGTTTGGAGACTGATAATAATAGATATTCCTACACAGCCATGCACAGGGGACTGGCCTATGGATTTGAGATTTCATGGGTGCGACTTGCCTGTAAGAAGCGTTGTCTAATCCAGGAGAGTTACTGCTATTTCGACTCTTCTAGACAGAAACTTCGATGCCAAATAGGTGAGTGGATCCTAAAACAAATATCAAACTTATATATTTATGTTTTTCTTAAATCTATTATATTATTGATAAAAACATATCGTTATATGTGCTCAATCATGTTTTTTAGACAAAATTAGTAATTCATTATTTTTATTTTATACTTTACCTGTACTAGTTAGAAATTATGCATATAATTAGTCTTCTCCATATAGTTGTTGAAATCAACAGTATCTGAAATTGATATTTTCCTTCATTTTGGGTGATATACAGGGATACTCGAAGTGCTGGCAGTGTATGCATCAAGTAAGAAATTTTATCATCTTAATTTTTGACCTATGCTTTAAATATAAATTATTGTTATTATTGATATTATTTAGGGGTGTCCTGTGAAGTCAAGAGAGACCAAGAACATAGATCATATCTGATGTATGTTTAGTAAGAAGTGTGTCTGCATAAGATAATCTGGTATCCAAGTCAAATATGTGATACATATTTTAATAGACCAACCATAATTGCTAATTTTGATTTCATCCCATAATAATAGGTCATCAACCAAAGATAATTAGTTTTTCTCAACCGCGCTTGGGAAGTTGGGGTTTTCCAGATTGATAGAGAATATCTCGACCAGTTCGTGGTCTCTCTTGACTTCGGGAAGTATTATACTTAATTTGATGCTGTATTATGAGGACCTTATTCAAGGATATATACTTGATTTTCATAATTTATATAAATATATAATTTTAAATTCATTAACTATGTAGTAAAACATTACTGCAAAGGCGTGATGGTCAACATTAATTTACTATAGAGAATATTCTAATAAAACATGAATCCATTTGAGAAACAATCATTTGGTGTTTGTTTTCGCATAAAGCAATTGGAATTTTTCCTCAAAATAATTAATAGCTTGTAATCGAATTATTCTTTAGCCATGATGATATTTATTCACTCATATAAAGTTCCTTTCAGGAATTTTAAATATTGTCGCTGCGGCATGGGTTTGCAAATTTGTGTTTGGGATTCCATTGATTGTGGCGCTGTTGATATGTAAATGGAGAAAACGACATGCATCAATCTATGAAAATATTGAAAATTATCTGCAACAAAATAACATGACGCCTATAAGATACTCATACAAGGAAATTAAGAAGATGGCTAACGGATTCAAAGACAAGTTGGGTGAAGGAGGATATGGCTCTGTGTTTAAGGGAAAACTCTCTAGTGGACCGTATGTGGCAATAAAAATGTTAGGAAAATCAAAAGGAAATGGACAAGACTTTATCAGTGAAGTAGCAACCATTGGAAGAATACATCATCAAAATGTGGTGCAATTAATTGGATTTTGTGTTAGTGGCTCAAACCGTGCTCTTGTGTATGAATTCATGTCCAACGGATCTCTTGACAAATTTATTTTTTTCAAAGAGGGAAGTGTAGATTTAAGCTATGACAAAATATACAATATATCAGTGGGAGTGGCTCGTGGGATTGCTTATCTCCATCATGGGTGTGAGATGCAGATTTTGCATTTTGATATCAAACCCCATAACATCTTACTCGATAAAAACTTCATTCCAAAGATCTCAGACTTTGGATTGGCAAAGTTATATCCAATTGATAATAGCATTGTAACAATGACAGTAGCAAGAGGGACAATTGGATATATGGCTCCAGAACTATTCTACAAAAATATTGGAGGAATATCACATAAGGCTGATGTTTATAGCTTTGGAATGCTTTTAATGGAGATGGCAAGCAAGAGGAAAAATCTGAATCCCCATGTAGAACGGTCAAGCCAACTTTACTTTCCCTTTTGGATTTATAATCATATCAGAGAAGATGAAGATATAGAAATAGATGATTTGACAGAAGAGGAAAAGAAAATAGCAAAGAAAATGATTATAGTGGCACTTTGGTGTATACAATTGAAACCAAATGACCGTCCCTCCATGAATAAGGTAGTGGAAATGTTAGAAGGTGATATTGAAAGCTTAGAAATACCTCCAGAGCCCACTCTATATCCTGATGAAATGAATACAGAGGATCAAACAATCAGCACAATGTCCAGTAGCTTTGAAACGTTCTCGTGATTATTCCTTGTAAAGAACAAGTATGCAACTAATCCTTTCGTGAATCATTCTATTAATTTGATAATGCATAACCTATGATTTTGATTTGAAGTTCATCCCTAATATATATTTTTCACTTATGTTTTTTCTTAGTATATATATGACATATTAAATGTTAAAAAAATGAATTACTAAATTTTTTTTTTCGAAGATTCCGAATAAGGAATTCTGAACACATTCTGAATATGTATGATGGTATATAGCTTTTCCATGATATAACAATGTGTAACCTTGAATTCTTACCAGGATAAAAAAAATATATCAAAGAATGCAAAGAGTAATATTATACATTTACTTAGTTTAGTATTGTTCTATCTAATTTGTTTCTATATATTAGAACAATTTTGTTCTTATAGACAAAAATTTATTTAATGCTACACTAAATGTATGCATATATATTAACTTAATGATAAAAATGATCATTCACATTATTTATAAAATAAACAAAGTAATCAAGTTCATATGTTTATTTAAAATTAACAAGAAAATTACCTGTAAATTTAGAGGAAAATTATATGGGATTTTAAATTGACATTTAAGAAAGCCAATTCTAGTGGTGATATTTAGTTAGTATGTTACTATAATTTAGAAACTTGATTAATAACAGAAATTTTATTGTCAAGATTATTAATGCGTATCTTGTTGTCTGTATATATCTAAATAAATATTATTTATTTAATGGTTTTAAGTAGAGAAATATTAACTTCAACTTTTAAAAACAACTTAATAAACTTATTGTACGGTTCCTCACCTTTTTGATTGCACAAAACTTTTAGATTGAGAGAATGGAAGTAAAATTCCGGACTGTATAGGGCTCCCAGCATCAGTACTTGTTTGCATCTTTGCTGTTTAGGCTGCACTTTGGTGGTTCTCAACAACTGTTTCGGGTTTCAATGTATTGGCACGTGTCCCAGCATCTAAATCTTCCTTTTCTACATCATTCAAACTGTTTCCAGTTACTTGGTATACACTGCTGTATTTTTCTGCTGCATAAAACTGTTTTTTAGCAGCTGCTTCCACTGGTTCACGGCCGGCAATTCCCTTTGCTGCATTTTTTTTTTTGGTTTTTCATGTGAGTCATGAAGTAAAACAAGTCCAACAATTACCTTTCATGAAAGTCATAGAATTCACATTTTTTTTGGTTAATCAGCAATTAATCTAATACTTAGACTACTTATTAATAGTTGTAAATTGCCCAACCTGGTTTTGAAGTGTTTAATGCTTGTCTCAGTCTTTGTTGGAATTGAAATGTGTTCATGGTCATTTGTCGTGATATGTCTTATAAGTTCCTATAAAGATGATTAGTTTTCATTGCTTGAGGGTGAAACATGGGTTGGTTGTGTTGGAAATATTACTTTATTACCTTTTATTTAAATTAGGTATAAAGATATTTTATTATCTTTTAAGAGAGAAGATAAAAAATCATTAGGTTATTATTTTGATATAGGCAATTATGATTGAGATATTATTGATATTTTGTAATATTTTTACTCTATATATACTAGAGTACATGAATAGAAATATAACCACATGATATATCAGAAATACATAAACACAAAACCTTAAAAATTCTTAACAAATTGGTATCTGAGCTTTGGTTCGACACAATGGAAGAAGAAATAAATTTTTCACATGTCGTTATTCCAGTTTTTTATGGCGAAAGTTATGATTTATGGGCTGTGAGAATGCAATCCTATCTTGAAGGATTGGATGTATGGGAAGCTGTAGAAGAAGATTATATTGTTGATCCACTGCCTGAAAATCTCACCATAGCTGAAATGAAATTTCACAAAGAAAGAAAAACGAGGAAGGCAAAAGCTAAATGATGTCTGTTTGCTGGTGTTTCACAAATGATCTTCACCAGAATCATGACGCTAAAGTCACCCAAAGAAATTTGGGATTATTTGAAAGATCAATATGAAGGGGATGAGAAAATTCGAGGTATGAAAGTTCTAAAATTGATAAGGAAATTTGAGATACAAAAGATGCAAGAGTCTCAAACAATTAATGAATATTCAAACAAATTGTTGGGTATTGCTAACAAAATAAAATTGTTAGGCAAGGAATTTTATGATTCCAGAATAGTTGAAAAAATTCTGGTAATTGTGCCAGAGAGATATGAAACATCTATTGCTTCATTAGAAAACGCAAAAGATTTGTCTAATATTACTTTGACAGAAGTGCTACATGCTTTACAAGCACAAGAGCAACGAAGATTGATGAGAGGAGATCATGCTGCTAGTGAAGGTTCTTTACTATATCATGATGGAGGTTCTCTCCAAGCCAAGAACAACAAAGGTACAAAATCACGAGTATTTTCTGTTTGTCCTTATTGCAAGAAAAATAATCACACACCCAACAAGTGTTGGTGGAGACCTGATGTGAAATGTCACAAATGTGGTTAATTGGGACATATAGAAAAGATATGCAAATCACAATCAGAGGAAGTCGTTTAAGTTATAGAGGATAGAGTAGAAGAGGTACTTCTCTTTGCATCAACATGCTCTACAATCAATAAATCCACAGGTTGGCTTATAGATAGTGGTTGTACAAACCACATGACTCATGATCGAAAACTTTTCAAAGAGATCAACGAATCACATATTTCTAAAGTGAGAATTGATAATGGAGAAGAAATGGATGTGAAAGGTACGAGAACAATTGCAGTTAAAAGTCATTCGAGTATCAAATTTATTTTTGATGTTTTATATGTTCCTGATATAAATCATAATTTGTTAAGTGTTGCTCAATTATTGGAGAAAAGTTATAAGGTGTCTTTTGAATACAAACTTTGTATGATTAAAGATACAAATAACTTGGAAATATTCAAAGTTCACATGAAAGGAAAAAGTTTCACTTTAGATTTGATGAAAGAAGAAATGATTACAAACAAAGATATAAAAGAAAAGTCAAAGAAAAAACATGAATAAGATTTCTTGAAGGAACTTGATGTTAATGAGGAAAATAAAGATGTAGATGAAGAAACCGTTTTCAACGTCCATCAAATAGTCAACAGTACTACCATGAAGTTTAAAAGAAACAAAGGAGATGAAGTTGATAAAGGAAGAAATATGTTGATGAAGAAAGTAAAGTTGAATGAAGACGTGATCTCATACAAGAAAGAAGATGACAAAAAGTATAAACAAAAAAGGAGGAAAAATTATAAACAAGAGAAAAAAAAATATATCAAATTCAAATAAATAGATATTAAAGTAAGGAGTAATGTTGAGAATATTACTTTATTATCTTTTATTTAAATTAGGTATTAAGAAATTTTATTATCTTTTAAGAGAGAATGTAAAAAGACATTAGGTTATTATTTTGATTTAGGCGAGTTATGATTGAGATATTATTGATATTTGATATTTTGTAATATTTTTACTCTATATATACATAGAGTACATTAATAGAAACATACCCACATGATATATCAGAAATACATATACACAAAATCCTAAAAATTCTCAACCGACTGCCCAAACTGTCCACTGTTTTTTAAAGTTTGTTGTTTATATATGGATGATTGAATGGTGGATTTGGTGGAGGAGTGTTTTGTGATGAATAGTATGGATGTTGGGTAGAGATGGATAAATAGGTTGTTATATATACATGTTTTGTTGTTGTGTGGTGACACATTGACTTGGTTTTCCCATTTTAGATTTGGATAGTTCCTCCTTGTACCTATTTGAACTAAAATGAACATTATATGAAGTTAAAAATTGCACACACATGTGGATCTTGTGATGACATGCTTGAAATATGTAAAAATTCATTAGTGGTATGTTGAGATAGAGTACAAATTTAAAACACAACTCTTACAAATGGAAAACTTTGTTGCACTGGGACTACTGGTGTGCAACAATTTGAATTTGGCTTTGTTGTCATACTAATTGTTTTACCATATAGATGTAAGGTTGTGTAATTTATTCTCCAATTATTGTGCTCCATTGGAAAATCGGTCTACACCTCAAACATTTTTTATAGTTGTGTTGCTTTTTGTAGAAAACTATTAAGAGTTACTAACTATTGTTTCTATCATTTGTCTAGTTATTGTGAGAATTGTATTAAGAAGTATCCTTCCACTAGCTGCATCAATCATGTTTCTATCTATAATTATAAGTCTTTCATCGAAATATTAGATAAGTACTTTTCAAGAAACATCTTCTTCAAGCTATCCCAAGTTGTGGTGGAACCTAGAGATAGATAATAAAGTTAGGCCTTTGAGCCCTCATTATTTTTATTATTAAATGTTAGAAAAAGAGGCTGAGATCAAGAGGGGGGGTGAATTGATATTTGAAAGATTTTCTATTGATTAACAAATTATCTATTTCAAAAATTAAGATTTCATATCTGTTCTTGAATCACACAGCAAACAATCAAAAAATAAATGCAGCAAAAAAATTAAATAAAAGAAAGGTTTAGAAAGATATCACCAAGGTTTATACTGGTTCACCCAATCCCAGGGCTACGTCCAGTCTCCAGCCAAATTCCAGCTGGGTTCCACTAGATTGAATGTTTTACAGATTACAACCTTAACCTTACACTCAATCTACCACAAGAACCACAATTCCAGTTCCTGCACCTAACCTCCAAGAATCAAATTCCAGTTCTTGACATCCTCTACAACCAAATTCCAGCTGCAGAGAAACCAGTGCCCACAATTTCAGGCACCAACAATACATAAAAGAATGTAAAGAAACAAACAGAAGAAACTAGAATGCTCAAACCAGTTTTATGCATTTCTGCAGTATGTTGTTTCTTCTCAAAAGAATGCAATTTTGCCTCAAGAAAGAATTCTTTTGAACTTCACAAAAACTAGCGCGAATCTTTCTTGAAAGAAGTACTTTTGATTGCTTGAATGATTGCAAAAGGATGTGTATCGAGATATATTTTAAAATGATCAAGCAACTCTATTTATATAGAAGATTTTCAAAACTCATTTGGTTTAATTAATCTGTTAAAATAATCTTTTAATCTGTTAAAAGCCTTGTTTTAATCTGTTAAAACTTCTTTTAATCCATTAAAATGTTCTTGATTATTTTCCAGATTTGTTTGAACCGATACGACAACGTTTATATCAATTAAAACTCTTTGCAAAAAATCTTCTAATTTGATTTAATCGATTGTTTCGTGTTTCAATCGATTAAAATACTGCAAAACTTTCTTGTAAACTTTTCCAAGTGATTTTAACTGATAAAAATATGTTTTAATCGATTAAAACGCTTAGTACAAATTTCCTTAAGTTGTTTTAATCGATTGAAACGTGATTTAATCGATTAAAATAATTCTGACCGGTCATAACTCAATTCGATCGATCATATCTTATTCTGATCAGTTATGAACACATTCTGATCGGTCATACTTGTACTCTAAGTGGTTTTAATCGATTGTTTCAAAGTTATATCGATTAAAATATCGCCAAAACACTTCTCTCGAACATTTTGAGTGATTTTAATCGGTTATTTCGAAGCTGTATCAGTTAAAATACTGACAGAAGGTTTTCAAAACTTTCTTTAATGAAAACAATCGGTTATTTCGAAATTATATCAGTTAAAAACTTGTTTATAAAAACGTGAAGAAAATTTTAGTTGATAGAACAAATATGCTATTAGTTAAAAATAGTTAATTCAAAAGCTTTTATCAAAATACTTTGTTTTTAACTGTTTAAACGTTTTTAGAGGCATTTTGCAAAATCTTTTAAGTGAAGAAACCTCATGCAGCAGAAAAGATAAAAATGATTATACCTAAGCAGAGCTGCTGACACACTAATCCTTCTACTCTTTTATCTAAGTGACTTTTGACTGCCACAAAGTTGCCTTTTGACTTCATTCTTGACTTCATCAAATCAACAAGATCTTTGCCAGAGTATTTCAATAAGATCTTCATCACTTTCAGTCTCCTCCTATTTGATGAAGACAAACACCACTTTGAATAATAATTCTGCAAAAGAAGTCACTTGATAATATAGATTAGTGAATAACTAAAAATGAATTATTTTCCTATTTCTCCCCCTAAATTGTTGCTCCCCCTAAATTTAAAAAGTAAAGCAACTATTTCTCCCCCTTTTGACTTCATCAAAAATAGGGAATAGAAGAAAAACAATGCATGGTATGTATCATGTCTTAGATTTCGAAAATTGAAAAAAATGGATACTGATAATTTACTCATGTAAAGACAAATCAAAGTTGATTCAAGCTTATCTTCATTAACACGTTTGTAATAAATACAATTAACACGTGTAAAGATAAGGGAACCACG